ATATCCGAAATTCAGTGAGGTTGCAGATTATAAAAACACAAACTGTGTGTGTCACCGACTTAATATAAGCGAGAAATTATTTGATTGGCATTCTTTAGCCGATCAAAAGTCGAGAACGTATCCCATGTTCGATAGATTGTACAAAGAATGCACAACAATTATTTGACCCTGTTTTGTGGCGCGAAAACATGTTGGTTCTCTGAGCTTATTGAGAAACGTATTCCTTGCATATTTGTTATAGATACGCAGAGACAGCTGCGGAACACGCAAAAATTTTTTGCGGAGGGAGACAACTTCGAATGCGGAAAATTACTTTTATTTTATTTTTATTTATTTTTCACATAGCTTTACGCGTGCAGACCATATCGAAAATAAGTATTCCTCTTTTTTTTTTTAATGGTGTATGGGAATATATTTTGTACATTTTTGGTTTTGGTATAAATATTACAAACAATTCAAAAGAACTCGCTATAAACAAATTTTATAAGGTGACGAAAGAAGTTATGACTTTCGGGCTATATAGCGATATGTCGTAAAAGTCGTCCGATATTCGTTAAATTCGTTTGGAAGTTTTTCTAGCATAGCATCATATTCATCATTCGATGTGCTCATAAACTCCATATTCTGTCTTTTCGTTATTCGGAAGAGCGGGAGATACGCTTTGAGAGCCTAACAAACCGAATAAATGGGTATATATATTAGAACATTTCATTCGTAATTGGAATTATCACGACGGATTGATCGAGAGTTCTTCCTCTTTAATATAAAAAACGTACCAGATCACCAGGTTCTCCTCCCCAATTGCCAATAGGTAGCGAGCGTGTATCCCGCTTGAATTCTTTGATATGAGGGTGGGATTCAAGCAAACGCGACAGTTGCGAGTAGAGTGACATGTGTAAACCTCGGGAATTAGCCCATGCAAATGCTGTTTTAAACGGGAATAAAAAAATTATTGTCAATGATAAACGTGCGGAGTCTTCTTCTTCACTTGAATTGTTATAGACCGTTTACTTACTTGCATCCAACAATTTCCGAGTAATGGGTCCAGCACGGTCCAACATGAGACTAGTTTCGACGAATTCAATCCATCCACCAGAATCAGTCACTCTAACTACTTCCTTGAATACTAAATCTTCCCAAGCTTTTTTTGTAAAGTATCCGGTAAGGAAATGCACGTAAACATAATCAAACATCTTGTCGTCTAACCGAAGCTTTTTCTGGAGCGTGTTTTGAGTAAACCTCGCATTTGGTGGCAAGGGTTTTGCCGTAACTTCAGTGAGGACATCGATAGCAGTGAATTTCGACTTTGGAAATTCGGCCGCTCGTTCGCATACCCATACGCCCATTCCGCTCCCGATATCGAGGACTCTGATGCCAGATTGAAGTTTCTCTTTGACTGGGGCAATAAAATCGGCATTCCAGGCATTGCGCAGTAAACGATGTTGTAGTTGAATGCGACCCACGTCTTCTTCCAAGTTGGTCGAGTCAGACAGCCATATGCTTGGATGAGCTTGGCTACATCTTCGTTCTGTTTTAAATGATTCGATGCTGCTTCGTTTCTTGGATGATGAACGACTAACGGAACTACGTGGAGACGAGTCCTGTTCGTATTCCAAGTTTGCGGTTGAATAACAGTTGCCCATTGTATAAAAATTTATATTAAGGGTTTATATGTATGATGGAATTATTTTTAGTCGTTATTAATATTTCAAACTATATATATTTTACAATCTACCGAGAAAGAAGAATGCTATTACGAGTCAAAAAACCCTTCGTTATGACGTCGAGTTGGTTGTAAAGGAATGTAGAGTATCCTTCTAATGAATCGAAGAAAGAACAATAAACTGTTTGGGGAGAAATGAAAAAACGGTTACAAAGCTTTTTTATGTGGAAAAATCCAAGTCACGTAACACCGAGCCTAATAAGTTCACCTTTTGTGGTAATGAGATATTGCCTATATAAGCTTATTCAAAAAAGAGAATATATTAAATATACAATTGCGGGGCCTGGGGCTGTAACAAACAAACAAAAGTGAAGTAAATTATTTATGTGGACAAGTTACTAAACAAGTCATATTCCACGTTGACTTTTGCATACTCACACTTACCAAACAAGTCAAATAGCATTCCTTTTTTTTCTTTAAAAAGGTTTTGGGTCATTTCACTTTCTTCAGGGCACGTCGTCTGTTGCAACTCTTAGCGCATGCTCTCTCCCTGCAGCGCTTAGAATTTTATGGTTGAAAATAGCGGCTAACCCAGTTACGCTTACCATTCAGTATATGTTGCAATGCATATTACTTGGTTGCCATAGTATCCAATAAGTTTCTGCAATAACCCGCTGTTCGGACGTTTTTGGTCTTGCTAAGCGCTTATAACAATAGCCATGTACCAATTAAAAGTAAAGGGGGCATAGAGTTGCATATGAGAGATTACGTTGCAATCTGATTGGTCGGCTGAATAGATATCGTGATACAAGAATATTTTGTACAGACGAACGATATTAATAATGATGCATTTAGTAAAAAAACCAACCCTTTGACATAAGCATGTTAATAAATTATTCAAAGCGGAAAAGATTGGTGTGATTGTCCTTGATCACCAGTATATTTCATTCATTCGGGTGAGAAGAAAAACTGGCGTTACGTGATGATGGAAACACAGGGTTTAAGACATTAGAATAGACGGAATTCCGACATTGTTATTAATTAATGTCTATTGACATTTTCGTATATATCCATTTTACAAATATAAATAGTCTTATGCTTTTAGAATACCTTACTGAATATAATTCATGTTACTCAAATATAAACTATCGGTCTATTGTGTTTACTCATACTGTAGAACGATAAAGCTGTTCTTCTGTGCATAAACTATATGTATCTTTACTAAAAGATCGACTGAGCAGACGCTGCAAGCAGTCATAATCCCCATTTCAACGTCCTTTCTTCACGAATCCCCACGTTTTAGAGTTTTTGTCCAATGAGCTTTACCTGAATTTACTTTGTAAAGGTCCCAGTTTTACTGAACAGTCTTTTGTGTGACCAACAATACTATATATAATGTATTAATATATTAATATCGCATTTCAATTAAATTAAATTGAATTCATTATCATTACTATTACAGCATTATACGCATGCAATCTTGTACAACATCTAACGAATTCTGTGCGATCCCCATGATTTGGCTTGAGCGCTCGTAATCAAACTTGCAAGCGTGAACACATTGTGGATTAATCGTCATTTTCAACCCCTCCCCCACCCAGTTTCTGCTCTTTCTTCATCTCTTTCTGCAATTTGTGTTTATATGTGCTTACTATAACCAACAAATCTTATTCAAGGGGGGCGGACAGCTTAGTCAGCATGTGGATGACGCTGATGCAACATTTCAAGTCCAAATACCAGGCCAGGAGCCAAAGGAATCTAAGAATCATTATAGGTTAATTAATCTGTACTACTCCTTCCAATTCTTTCTATAGTCTCTTCTCTTCTTGATACAAAGAAACGTTTAAGCTCCAATGCGGCAATAAGGTTCTCTTGGCGTACAGCTCTTACTATAATAGCGTACTGTATTCCTTTGCCTTCACAAGGGTTACCGTGTGCCACTCCGGTGAAAATCTGTTGATATCATGTTATAACTTGTCAGAACGGGGATATGAAAAAAAAATGCGTTTCGAAGTCCAAAGAAGTTTTACGGAATTGCACCACTCTGTGACAATCATTCAGACTTTGGCGTTAGTATAAACGTCATTTTTGTGCCGATACTTTACGGTCAAAGAATTAAATAGTATTACAGAAATACGATAAATACACATTACTATAAAAGAATGATTCTCTCACACATCTTCCGAACGTTCTTGTCGATATGGGGAAACTTGCTATTTCTGAATTCGAAATTTTTTCATTGGTTCGCCAACAGGTTTATGGATATGGCACTTCGACACATGACAGCCGCAGATGACATTTACCATCTCATACAGTGTCTAATATACAGGATTATTGAATGTTGCAATTTTCTAGTTGACCGAGTCTCATTATGTAAGCGTCAACGTCTCATAATGGAAGTTAATGTTTCGAAAACAGCAGGTATAATAATTCGACACAGTGATATGAGATTTGGAATGTATATGCAGTGCATGGTGATACGATTACAGTGCATTGATATACAAAAAATGTGTAACCCCGTGTTTGTGCTGTGTTGGATACATGATAATGATTTTTATACATTAAATTTGTTCCAGTGGGATGAATATTTACTGTATCAAGTATAAATGTGTTAGTAATTAAATTATTTTATTGGCGAAATTGACTGTTACGATAAAAAAACACCCATTAAATTATTATGTAACAACCAATTATTAATAATTACCAGCACTATACACTAGCACGATCAATAAAGATTTCCTCTACACTGCTTAAATTTGTCAACTGACAAGAAACCTTTGATTTCTTCACATACAGTATTATCAAGCTGATCGCGAATACAAAGAGAAAATACATGTCGAACAGAGTGTGTGCCATAAATCTGAAGAGGAGCCAGGCGGGTGGCGGGAGAATGTGCGCCAAGGTAGCTTTCACTTGCTAGAATTTTACAAGAAAGTTAAATATTTATTTATTATCCAAGTAAAGTTGACAGAAAACAGTTTACGCAGAGCTTATCCCAAAACTCTAAAACTTGCATGATTAACTAACTAAACGCGGTCAACGAGCTTGTTGATTTGTGAACAAAGAAGCCACTTGATCACGATCTAGCACCTATTTAATCCTGTGCTCTTGGATTGGTGATTCCCACCTTTTTTATGTATAAAGTTAAAGTTGTTAATAAAATTTAGTATACCTAAACATTGGTATAGCGATATTCGATTGTGTCACTACAAATGCTGCTTTAATCACGAGTAACAACGTCTGTTGAACAATATCCTACGTAGGATAGTAATACCTTTTTTGAACAATCACGAGTGTTAATTTTTTGTCACGATACTCTCTACTGTTTTTGTAAACTTTGAATTAAAGAGTCCAGGTTAAATGATTACTGCTTATGTCAACCGACCTCGACATTTCACGAATGAATGTCACGCGAGAAAATAGATACGTATTGTTTAATCTTCATATTCATTGGCAAAGGCTCTCTCTTCCTACTGGATTTTAAACGCACACACAGAAAATTCTTAGTGTTGACATTAAACACATGGCCTGTTATCGAAACTGGCAGGCCAAACGTGTAAATTAATGTTACACTATTTTGGCCAATGTTGAATGTGTGAACGTCAATTCCCATGAAATTTTTTAAACTTTCGTGTAAACTTTTAATATTAAGTAAACAATAATATTTTAATATGGGAGAGAAAAGTCACAGGATTTGTCAAGTGTGACGTACCGAAATAATGATTGATGAACACAAGAATCAATCGATAATCATCATTTTTTCTCTTGTCTGAATTGGGCAATTTAGTTGGCATTGCAACCGAAATCACTATGCTCAGGACGTTATTCAGGAAGCACGTACAAGTTACTGCTGCTGGAAAGGAGGTGAGTGGATGTTTCATCTCCAACAAGGGGATAAATGAAAATAAAGTTAAATTGTTAGGATCATCGTCAACACTCACACTGAAATACACCATTTTTAAAAAAGCTTGCCCGTAACTACAGCACCCCAGTCTTGAATTCATCAACGATCCCTCAAGTTCAAACGGTAAGTTTTTTTAGACATGCTAATTGACCATACCCACAACTTTACTAGGAGAAACTTTCTTACACTCTCAAGCTTTTGTTGATCTAACAGTCGGATTTTACAAAATATGGTGGAAAATACACCGTAACCTTGATCCCTGGTGATGGCATAGGCCAGGAAACAACATCAGCTGTGAAGACGGTCTTCAAAGCAGCGAACGTGCCGGTTGAATGGGAGCAATTCGATGTTACAGGAACTTCTCATGAGGAGGATGCATTGTTCAAGAAGAGCGTTGAATCTTTGAAAAGAAATAATGTAGCACTAAAAGGTATTCATGCTCTCTCGCATATGTGAGTTAATGTCAATGATTGAAAACTTTGATGAGCTGATTGACATACAAATTATCTGTTTATCGCAGGCATTCTATACACACCCATAACAAAACTTGCACATTCGTCGTTTAATGTGTCAATAAGAAGAAATCTCGATATTTACGCATCACTGGTTTTAATTAAGAACGTAAAAGGTTGCCCATCTAGACACAAAGACGTTGACTTTGCCCTTATCAGAGAAAATACAGAAGGAGAATATTCCGGATTAGAACATCAGGTGAACATACCGATTTCTCGAATCGCCTTTTGGGAAACAAAAAAGTTCATTTCTAATCACGAGTCTTGTTTTCTCGATAGTCATATCCGGGGGTAGTAGAATCGTTAAAGATTGTAACCCGAGCGAAAACGGAACGCATCGCACGCTTTGCGTTTGACTATGCTCTCAAAAATGGCCGCAAGAAAGTAACATGTGTTCATAAGGCCAACATTATGAAACTAGGCGATGGACTTTTTCTCAACACTTGTCGCGAAGTAGCCAAAGATTACGAATCGAGCGGGATAAAATTTGAGGATATGATCGTGGATAATTGTTCCATGCAGCTCGTCAGTAAACCCCAGCAGTTCGATGTGATGGTGATGCCCAACTTGTACGGCAACATTGTTAGTAATGTTGGTGCCGCCCTAGTTGGCGGAGCTGGAATCATTCCTGGATGTAATATTGGGAGAGATTATGCATTGTTTGAACCAGTAAGTATAAAGTCAGAGCTTGATGCTGATGAAAATATCTGTAATACTAAATTGATAGTCTATAATGGTATTATAGGGCTGTAGACATGTAGGGAAAGACATCCAAGGACATAACAAAGCGAACCCAACAGCAATGATTCTTTCTGGAGTAATGATGTTGCGCCATTTGGGACTCGAAGATCATGCTATTAGAATCTCGAATGCATTATACAAGACGATTGAGATGGGATCCGTAAGTATTGTTTGTTCTAATCGCACATTCTTGTTGAATTTATTTTCGACATCTAAGCCATGTTCCCTTTCTACAGGCAAGAACACTAGACATGGGAGGAACAGCGACAACCACGGACTTTACTCTAGCGGTTGTATCAAATCTGTAAAAGTTGATAACTTTATTTGTCGATCGATCTATGTGGATAGAGTATATTGTATACATATGAAGGTGGCCGGGGTTGTAATTTATGATCTTGAAAATTTAGACCACTTATCATGGGCAGTATTAATGAAATGACATCAATTCACTTCAGAGTTGGCTTGCAATAATTATTTCTACGCACAACTGCATTATTATTATTATTACTTGGACTAATATTTGGCATAATCTTTTTAAAACGACTGTCTTGTTCGCGGAATGAGGAGAGCGCTTTGCGCCTAAATTGATAAAAAAAAAACTTGAAAGAGTTAGCATCAAAGTCTTTACGAAATAACATACGCCCAATTAAGACCACATATACCTATTTTGGGGGGAGTTTTGCGTTTCGTGAGTGTTAATAAATTTTTGAAAAAAGCCGTCCGCGACTTGTGGTTATAAAATTTTTTTGTAAGCGTGCTATACAATTAAAACCTGCTTGCCTGGATTTTTACCGCGATAATATAATCGATGATTGACGTGCCTTACTTAATATAGTGGATTTTCGGGGCTTGAAAGAGATCTTCCAGAGGAAGCGAAGTGGAAAGTACGTTTGTTAGGGTGAGTGGGGTAAAAAGCTTTCAGTCTGAATTGCAAGTCTTACAAGAATGGATCTTAATCCAATGCTTCTTTTGCTTTATACTGTTATTTGCTAAACATTCTAAGAACACACTAGTTATCCTTTGTTTCATTAAGAGTAAGTAAAGAACATCGTACACGAGTCGATCGTCTGCAGATGAAGCAGCCTCAATTGAAAATATCGCGACGTAAAACGACATGTAATTACTAAATGTGATCCCATTGATGAAGAAAAGCTATTGATTCTGCCCTGGAAAAAGATTGCGGATCATCTTCAATTAAATACTTCCTTAAACAGAGAACAATTGTGGAAAATGGTTTTTACAGCTTTCGTCTTGTTACGGTAAGTCGTAGTACCGTCTGGTGAGATTTCAAAAAGATCATGGACTTGCAACAAGTTTTGCGTCGTCAAAATATAGTTTATTCGGCGCTACGTAACATTAATATTAAACAACGAATGACGTTTTAACATCTTAATCAGGCGCGCGCGAAGATGAAGTTTTGTATCGCACCCAAATCTGATTAGCGTATTTCTAGATGAGCCATAGCTACGCTGCTGAATCAAAAGTCTGTTTTTCGAAAATCTGTACTGGCGTTATTTACTAAGCAAACGACAAATTTTACATTTTCTTGAAGACAATTTCGAGTAAAATACTCATAAATTTACGCAGGTTGCTGTAATCGAGCTGTTATGCGCTAAATGACGTTATTTTCATATTATAATAATTTACATATGTGTAAAATATGTCTACTAATATTGACACATAAAAATGTGACTTTCACGGCATGTAAATTTTGTGTCACATGAACGTGTAGTGCGTAAAATCATTTATACTGTCTGTCAATTTAAGCTTTTTGATTTACAATTACAATCATCATACTCTAGCAACCATGACAGATACAAAGAAAGACAGTCGTTCGGCTTACACTAACGAATTCGAGATAAAACTTCCATATTTGACACAACTCTTGGACGTCTGTCAAGAGATAAAAGAAGAAACACGGATTAGGATGAAGGAGGCGATGGGATCGGAGAAGGTACGAGGCTTGGGATTGAGCTTGCTACGGGAGTTAAAACATAGACTTTTATGAGGGGTTTGTAAAATTCAGAACTTTGTCTTGTTTTGGATCCTTCAAATCACTCGTAAACTTGCCACATTGTTTACCAATTATTGGCTCTTATATGTATATCTCTTTTGTGTTTCGTTTCGCTTAGCTCAGCTTTGATGATCAAAAAGCAAGGACTTTTCATAACAAATTTCGTACTGCTATTTGTAAATTGCGAGCGTTGAATCGAGAAGCCTGCATAGAGCGGCATACTGATAAAACAGCAATTCAAGAGGCAAAGCAGGCAATGGATAAGATTCACTTGCAACTGCAATCACATCGGCATGAACAGAGTCATTTGCGTAAGAGGATTCGAGAATGCAGAAATTTTATGTATGTGTGTATTTTTGGTTAGGGTTTGCGAAGAAAGTAACAAGAAACTGGTTACACCATATATAAAGTTTGTTCGAAAAACGTGATCCACAAGCAGAAGCTTGGAGCGAAGCAAGTTTAATTATTCTAAAACTTTTTTATAATAACCAAGGACTCTCTACGAAGATCTTGAAGTAGTACAGGAGGGAGATTTACCGGAAAAAGTTGTAGAGAATATTAAGCTCAAGGCATCCGATGAAGCTGGATTGCGACATCAAAAGATGCTATCGCGATTGAATTTCGAAAAGCAAGAGCGTTTGAGGTACAATTTTTTGTTTTTTTTTCCTACCCCTCACCTGTGCTTTTATGCCTTGGTCAAAGTTTACCAATCTCCATTCGTTCCGTGTAGGTTAGAAGAAGAGCGAAATAATAAACTTAAGCGAAAGCAAGAGTTAATCGAGAAACTAGAAGCAAAAAAGACTCGAATGCAGCAAGCTGATAAAGAGATTAAAAGGAGATTTAGGGTAAATGTGGTGAACGGATTGGTTTTTGTACGATCATGTTCTGCTACTGTTTATTAATGTATACAATACATTTTAGGACATTAAGAGCCTCAAGAAATTAACGGAGGCTCAGTAAATACGAATCACTCAAAGTAATGCTGTTGAATTTCGATGAGAACGCAATCAAACAGTAAAACGTGAAGCAACTTTACAAATCAATAGGAGTCCTGGCGAAAGGCTTGCGTTTCGGTTGTCTTGGTCTTGGAACATTGCTCAAATTACGTATAATAATAAATATTTTATTTTGTTAATAACAATAATTTTATTACGAGTCAAAGCTGACGGTCGATTGTACACTTTGTTGTGGTAGTTACTGATAGAAACAGGGGGAGATATGTATAGCTGTAGTGTGGCCTATGGATTACAAGAGCATAGAATTTCAAATTTGTAGATTTGTTTGTATGCTGTGACCGACAGTTATGAAATAAGATGTATATAAGTTCTGGGAAAAGATGTGGAATTCCTTATAAAGATTTAAGTAATGTGTTCAAATACTCGTATTTGCAGAACCGTGATATACGTTCGAAAATTTAAGGATAGAATATTGATCCCATACAGAAAGGTCAAGTTTTCAATAGGAAAACAAATTAAATTCAACTCAAACCACACGCACAAACATAACTAGTTTCACGCAATACTGTAGGCCAAATTTTGCATATTGTCGAGTCCCGTGGCGGATTAAATAATGACCTTGAAACTACTTATTCTCGCGAGCGAATAACAATCGTAATGTAAATGCCCACGAGAATACCAACAGATGAACGAAATCATCAGCGATACTCGTTTCTGAAGATCATAATAAAGGGTGAAAGTAGTTGAACATACCGAATATAACAGATTGGATTGCGCCGCTTCCCATATTAATATTAATATATAATAATTATTCGAGATACCAGTTTTCCTAATTGGTGGGGGTTTACCGATTGTGCTGTTAATTATGTCATTTGTGTGAACGTCGTTTCGATAATATGACATCCCGATCCAACAATTCTTGTAACGATTACGCGACATTATTCCCGTAACATAATAATAAGACGAATTAATTCTACCCTCCCCCAACCATTAAGAGTCGCTAATTGTTATTGATTAATATGCTGCTCTTCGCCGTTCATTATAATAACAAACGTTGTCACCCACTTACCACGTTGAGGTGGCAGCATATCAAGTGGGTTATGCCTAAACAGGATCAACCACCCTGGGGATCAACCGTCTAGGGCTTACAAAAAATTATGCAATATCGCATTTAAGAAATTGTATATATACATTTCTAAATCCTAGCCAAATGGCTAAGAAACAGTGTAGTCATTTCTGAATCCTAACCAGTTGGACCAAGAAACAATGTGTAGTCATTTCTGAATCCTAGCCAGTTGGACCAAGAAACAATGTGTAGTCATTTCTAAATCCTAGCCAGTTGGACCAAGAAACAATGTGTAGTCATATCTGAATCCTAGCCAGTTGGACCAAGAAACAATGTGTAGTTATACTGAATCCTGGCCAGTTGGTCTAAGAAACAAGTGTAGTCGTTCGTTGGTATCAATGGAGGGGAGTCCAAGTATTTATACTTGTTGCGAAGATGTCCTGAAATATGGGACGTGAAACTTCTGATTGGACCGCACGTAATAATAATACTTTGTATATATTTTCCTATTTGTATTTACATGAATCCTGTTTACAGTACGGCGCCGTGTAGGACGCGTATGTAAACAATACCCCTTTTCCCATTTTGTTAATAATGTTCTTCAATAACGTGTACCAATTGACCATGATTAAAATCGTCTTAGTGTATCCTGGTATCAGCGCGTCTGTTTGTGTTTATCTTATCAGATGTTTTTCTTTGCAGAAACTTTTTTTACAGTCCTAGTCTTTTTATAACCCACATAGTCTTGAAGAAAATTATGTCATTATTTCATAGTGCTCTGACGAGGTGACAATGATGTGAATACTGTTTGTATGCTGAAAGCGAAAAAGTATCTTGCTTATTGCAATCTATTGAAGCAAGGGCTTGTAAACCTGCGTCGCTATCCAATACACTGTCGCTATACTCTATCGGAAATATTTTGTTGGTATAAAAGAACGAGTTTCATATATATTCCTGACTTAAACTCAAACCAACCCTTAAACTCACGGTATTTATTTATCTATGACATAGTCACTGTCATTCATCATTTTAGGTAGCGTTCTCATAACTTATTTCTCTTTGAAGCTTTATTAGGACATAATGCGATTGATGCGTTGCGTCACTGTTTTAACGCTGATCAGCCTATCTTTGTTTAATCTGACGGTCAACGGGCTTGCGAATATCTTAATTATAAAAAATTTACCAAGCTTAATTACGAGACGTAGACCTCGTTAACGAGAAAGGCGTTATCTTCGAAGAGATGCAACCTAATATTGGACAACTACGTTTTTTTGTGAAAGAAAATCGAAATAGCGCAATACAATGGGTAGTACAAATTGCTATCTGCTGGAGGTTTATCTTATCGAAAACTCAATCCAGAGACAAACTCGGTGACTACTGTCAGCATGACTTGAACATTTTGAAGAATAAGTTGTTCATGTATTTTCGAGCATGACTCTGAAGACATGCTGACGCCAAATTTGCCGGGATGCGGGTAATCTTCATGTTCGACTGACGTTTAGACGGGAAGGCAATAGATTGTGTTGTATGTCGGTTTGGAATTTATGTCCATTCGGAATAGACATATGTCCATTTGGAATGGACATATGTCGGATGGGAATTTGTGTCCATTCCGAATGGACATGTATGTCAGATTGGAATCATAAAGACAATCAGGTAACAACATTATAATATTAATTCGACTGCATATAAACATGTTATGATACAACGAACGATGTACTAAGACTATGAGGGTGGCAGTTTAAGTTACAAATGACAGCAGCTTTGCGACAAGCACATCTAGCCGTTGAACAGCTAATCTTACAACTACATCTAATCTTGTTTAAATTGACCAAACTTTGAGCTAAAGGAGCTTTATTATTTTGACAGAATACTTTGGGTTACAGAATGCGTTAAGTTGGTAATTGTCTTTCTATTTGTAG